ACATAACGGGGGTAAATGCTTTTTCTATCACCAGACAAGCAGCACAAAAAAACATCCAAAGAATAGCTTGTTCAGAAATGCTCTCCAAAAGGGCTAGGGCAAGCTAAGATTCCGTATCTGAAAAGAAAGTTGGGATCCTTTCCTCTTTTGCATCATGCATTGTAGCACCGTCTGCTGATGCATTTGCCTTTTCCAGTGAAGTTATATCAGCTATAAGACATTAGCCTTACTCCCAGAATTCACTGACTAGTGTACTATCAGTGTGCCCAGACAGAATACAAGCCACTCTGATCATGACTGCTATTAAGTTCTCCTTGTTGTGGGATAATGCACCTGCAGGCAGAAAACTAGAAGTTTTAGCTATGGAATGGCTTCTTAAAGTGCATCTAATATGATTTGAATAAGGTTTTTCCCAAAAAGAATAGAGATAAAAAGATTTGTTATTGCAAATGTACTTTCAATATATGTATAGTCACACAAACAAAGAACATTTCAGTTTGGGATTTCATGGCTTTCTGGAGTTCCTTACTAAAATGTAATTACTAGACCTCTGAAAGAAGATTTTAAACTGCAAATATTTATAATGCAATATGTATTTAACATATGTATGTACCACATGTGAGAGGAATCCCAGCAAACAGAAGCAAACTATCAGTATTTACAGCCTTAAGACCTTCATTAAGGCATAAGAGCATGGGCTCTGTAAACTTAAACTCTAAGAGGAAAAAAGTCGCAAATTTAAAAACCCATTTGAAATACACAACTAGAAAACAGTGGAGTGCTCATTGGCATTAAAGTGTTGCATCAATAAACCAAAGAAATAATTATGTAGCTTGGGTCATAGTAGTAAACAATCAATTCGAGTTCATATTGAACAAGGAAGAGGAGGGAGGAGGAGGAAACTGTCCAAATGGAGCCACAGGTTGTTCTAGGAGTTCATATCCAGCTAGGCAAAGCTGTGTATCAAATCCATACTTTTATTATAAGTGACTCTATAAAGACTATAAAACAACACAAAGTGAAAAGAGGAGTAAAGCAGATGTAAAACAAAGCTTTGCTTAGAGTGAAGTTCGTTCTGCTGTTCCCCAGCTCCACGTTAGACCTGGACGGAACCTTTGCCCAGTACCTCCCCGCCCACCCTGTACCTGCGGCAGCTTGGGGTCGTTGATGTCCCAGGTAAGTTTCATGGCAGAGGGTGGCCGTGGGTGGCGGCTCCCGGCTTTTTATGCCGTCGGGGGCGTTGCTGAGGTGTGGGCGGAACAGCAGCGCTATCACCGAACCCCACCGCAGCCCCTGGGTGGGGTAGGAGCTGCGGTCCTCCTCCACGCCACGGGCGGGTTTCGCTGCCCTCACCTGAAGGGGTGTGACTGGGGGGTAGATGCAGGGGTCGTGCACAAATGCCCCCCCCCCCCCCCCCGCAACACTGGGGGCCGTGACCTCGGCAAATTTGAGCCGGGTTCGGAAGTCTAACCGGGCAGCCGCGGGGCTCTGCCGCTCGCTCCCGCGGGCGGTCGGGATGATGGGAGGGGTGACGGGAAGATCCCGTCTCTGCCCGACCGGGATTCTCTTGAGCGTGGCTCGGAGCTGCCCCCACCTCGTAAAGTGTCTGGAGGGAGGCAAAGATGCTGAATAAGCTGCTTTTTGGATGTAAACGAAATCGGCGTTACTTGGCCGGTTTCCCCTTGCCATATGCTCGATAGTAGCTGGTTTAAAGTGCAAAGTTGGTGTTGGTGCCGTTGTATTGATAGGCACATTTGAACTTATTGAACAGTTACAGATTTTGTGTTACCTTTTTATTTTCGAAAAGAACATGTGATGGGGTCTGAAGTTAGGAACTTTTTGTTTGGTTCGTTTGGTTTTCGTGAATTTGTTTTTATTGGTTTTCTGGGTTTTTTTTGTGTGTGTGTGTGTTTTTTTTTTTCCTTGGTTTGAGTTTTTCTTTGGAGTTGGGAAGAGATTATGGGAAGAAAGGAGGGAGATTGATTTTTGGTGTGAAAAACAAGAAAGAAAAACGCCATCCACAACAGCATAGAGACCGAGCCGTTGAACTCCGAGCGCCGCTATCGCACTTTAAACGACGCCACGTGCTCGCAATGATTTTTCTCATTCACTTCCTTCCTCTCTGGTCCAAAATTTACTGAATTTTACCCTCGGCTAAGCCAAATAACGCCCACCCGGCATCAGCACACGCCGGCTGTGGCACCCCTCGGCCAAGAGCAGCCCCCAGGGATGCTCCGCTCCCCTCCTTTGCACCCCGGGGCTCGGCGGGGGTCAGTGGGATCCGCTACGTGGGGCCCGCCGTAGGTGCCGCGCAGCCGCGACTTTTTAGGGCGGAAGGCGACCCGGGATGCTTTTCCTCTTTTCTTTTTCCCGCCACTGCTGGGGTAGCGTGCGAGGGCTTGCTGAAGAAAGGAAAGTGCTCGGAGCTGTGGGAAAGGCCGGCAGGGTCGCCCTGCGCCGTAAGCACGGGTGTGTCGAGCCGTAGCTGCAGCAGTGGCTGGAGCGGCAGCGGCAGCAGCAGCAGCAGGGAGGTCGCGAAGCAGCTCTGCGGCATGGTCCTTGTGCGCTTAGCGCCCCGCGGGTGGAACCGCACAGCGGCCACGGCGAGGTGGCCGCGCCGCGCTCCCGCCGCGCTCCCGCCGCGCTCCCCGGCGCCGTCAGGAGCCTCGGGTGTTGTGGTGGGTAGTTTTGTACTTCAGGTAGTGATAATGAAGGAAAACCAGCGAAACGAGTTGGAATTTTGAGTTTGGAAGTAGGGAGGGGATGAGTAGGTGCTCTTCAATTTTGGGGCGGGAAAAGTTGTTTGGGTTTGTTGGTTGGGTTTTCTTTTTTGGGGGAGACGGGGGAAGAAGATTGTTTTTTTCCTGTATTTTTCTCTTCTTTTATTTTCAAAGGAAGAAAGAAGTGACGAACTAAGTAGAGATGTGTTTGGCGGTATGGCAGACAGAGCAGAAGGCTACGTAAGGATCTTTGAAATGCGTTCTTATCTTTATCTTACAAATTGCCATATATATATATATATATATATAAGTGCATTTCTTAAGTGACTATAGCATGACCCAGAATTTTTAGTAATTTTCTTTAATGTGCGAAGTGTAGTAATCCTCTTAATCTTTTCTTTAGTAAGTGAGAATAAATTACTGTAATAGTTGTGGGACTTACAAACTGGCTATACTAAATTGCTTATTTCTTTGCTTGGTGTCTTTTATAATTATTCTGTTTCAAGGGTTCTGTCTCTTTTGGACATTAAGACTGATGTTTCACTTCAGATGTAGTAATAAAATGAAAGTAGAGAAACAATATAAAACAAACAGAAACTTGCAACTTTTAAAATATCATTACAAGTATTTTATCATAATTAGTGTGCCTACAATTTCAATGCCCGCTTATTTTATTCACTAATTGTTTCCTTCCCTTCTCTCTGCAGCTCGAATCATTGCTCATTGATGCCTTTAAAGGGAAGGGGTTTCAAAAAATTGATGAACTGTTTAAAGAGGCGAAAGTAAAGCTTCCCCAGATATACAGTGAGTCTCTCTTTAACCAGCTGGACAAAGCACTGATAAAGGCGAGTATCATAAATAATCTCAACTTTCCTAGCAGCCAACTCGGAGAGTAGCAGGCTAATGATGCACAGCACTCTGTGTTTCTACAGGAGCTGGACAAGAATGAATTCAAGAATGTTTCATTGCTGCTGAAATGTATTCAGCTCTACCTTAAAAGTGATATTGGAGAAGGGAAGAGCTTGCTTATTGAGCAAGGACTGGTACCAAAGATGAGTATAATATTGTATACAATTTACTAATGTGATTTAAGGTTGTTTGCATCAGAAAAATCTCCAAGGAAGTGAAAACTAGATGATGGCTTGTTGGCCTCACAGAAACAAAATATTTTTTTAATATTTGCATGAACTGAGTGGGAGAAAAAATGCTTAGTCTCTTACTGCTTTTGGTGTAGCACCCAATTTTATGGCTCCACTTACTAGCTGATGTAAAGGGTTGGATTGTTTTGGGTTTTTTAAAAGCTGATAGTAGAAGGAGAGGATGAGTTTCTATAAGTCCCATTATTGAAATGATACAGACTTTCTAAATCCATTTTAAATGCTCCAGCAAAATACAGTTTTAGTAATAGAATTAATGAGTAATTTGTGCATTTATATTTTTAAAAACTGAGATATTCTTTATGAAGATCCCTCTCTAGTTATGTAGTAAACCCGATGCATTTAATCTGCAATTGTGTTTTATCTTCTGCCACTATATTGATTTCAGCTGGTAGTAGTTGTAGTAGCAGAAAGGAAATTGTGTTGAAGACAAGTAACACCTGGATGTAACACAGGTGTAACTGTCAGGGAACAGCTAACACATGCTCTCGGTTAGCAGAGAACTGACTGAGAGTCCTCAGTCCAAAATGTTGTATTCCTGCCTTGTAGTTATGCTTTTCAGGGTTACTGTTGCTCAAAATTCCTGTATGGAAATAAATTAATATTTTTTTTCCAGTCTGAGCTCTGTACTTTGTCAGTGGAACGTAGATTTCTAGTTCACCATTTTTGTATGATCTTATGCAATGTTTAAAACCATGAAGTATTAAAATATTTACCTTGAAAAAGCTTGAAAATATTATACAGTATTTTGCTGTGAGTTGATGTCTTCTATAAATGTCTGTAGTAGTTCTGGTGCCACTAACAGCATCTATTGTGTCTGAGCACCATGAACGGATGCCTTGGACAAGAAAGGAGGATAAAAGGAGGGCTAGGGAGGGAAGGGGAAATGGCACTTTTCACGTCCTTAAAGCCATGTAACTTTTGACACAGTACATGACTGAAGTTTAAAAAGGTAAAGAACTCTGTAAGGTTTTACTGCAGACGTATATAATTTAAGATTATTAATTCCTCTTCTCAGTTTTTAACTACTTTTTTTTTTAACTTTTACCTGGTATCTTGGTTTGAAAGAGCAAAAGAGTTTATGACCATCATCGACCCAAATGAGAATGAATTTTTGATCTCAATGCTTGAAGACTTCTTTGATTCTGCATTGGTATGTTTGTGCATTTAAGGGGACAGAAGGGTTGCCTTTATGGGATAAGATAGCTATTGTTCACAAAGAATTTTCTGTTAGAAAATAAATATGTGCATGGTGCCCTCAGGCTGAGCCTGGGATGCAGCCTAGTGGTGTGGGTGGGCAGTGTCTAGGAGTGTGCTCCAGGCTGGCATCTGGCTGACACACTTGGGAGAAGCATTTTCTCATTTTCTAGCTTGAAGAATTTGTTTCTGTAGAAAAATTTGCAAGAAATACTGATGCATTTTGTAAATGAAAGCTTGTGAGCTGAAGCTGTCTTTAAGACCCAGAAGCTACTAACACTGAACTGTACTTCATGTACAAGCATGTTTGCTAAGGTGGTCCTGGCGATTTGTTCCTACTCTGTTTGAAACAGATTATTTAATTCTAAAGAATGATCTAACTTACTTACAACTCTCATTTAGGTTTGAACTTTAAATATTCATGACTTTAAGGGTGTTAGAGGCCTAGTGATGTAACATTTGTAATAGCAAGAATGCTTTTTAGCTTTTTTGCCCCCAAGCTGTTGCTCCCAGTATTGTTGTCTGGAGCTTACTGGAACTGTGTCACTTTGTGCATCAGAATTCATATCAATACCTATGGCTCTTTTCAGAAGTTCTGCTAAAAGATAGTTGATCAAGATGGAGGTTTGTTTTTTCTGTACTAACCACTTTGAAGTTATAAAATACCCATTTATTTTCCCAAAAATTGAATTTCTTTTGAATTATGTCTTCCTGCTATGTTTCTTCCACATGCTTTCACTGTGGAAGAGAAAGTGTTTGTGTTATAGAGTTGTTTGTAATTTTCCTCGAGGGACTTCAACACCCTGAAATCCCTGGGGGAAGTGGATGCTTGGCTACTTTTACCCTCCCTGCATATTGTATGATCAGGGTGACCATATGTGACATACCTGGATAAGGTGGCTTTTTCTGATGTGGGTACGCTAGTGTTTTATGTTACTCTGATGTGGGTACATACTGTTTCATGTAATTTAGCATTTGAAAGTTGGGGGGTGAGGAAGGTGTCCATAAACAGCTTGGCACTTCACATACTGCTGTTCTTGGATGGTGGTGTGCTACTGAAGGCTTGTTTTACTCTTTCCATCAGGTGATTTGCAGATGCGGTCGTGAAGGTAAGTATTTTTTTTCCTTCCATTCTTCAATATAATGAATATTAATCTTGGGAGCATATATCTTCATTCTGCTTGAACTCTGTCCCTGTTCTCTTTTCAGCTTTCTACTTCTTCCTCTCTGTAATATTTTTTTAAAATCCTCCAACTATTTCTCTTCAGTTAATTCTCATTAACATTTGTATTGGAGCACAAACCCTTTCTCTCTTTCTCTTTGTGTTTACGTACATGCTGAAAAGTCTATTTCTGTTATCTTGTTTAAATGGTCAGCATCAAGCATTTCAGTTGATCAGTGTAAGTGGATTCTGAAAGGGGTTCAATCTATACAGTCTGTTCTTGCACATCTGTTTGTTCTGGTATCAGATGTCATTCCCTTGCTGAAGGCAACCATCTCCACAGTATAACATGGTAACTCCTTTAGCCTTCCAGACTCGGCAGAGAGATGTCTGTCTCTCATTCATTTCAGCAGCAAAATTTTGTTCTGTAGCTGCAGCTGGTTTTACATTAGGGTGGGGGGGGAGCAGGTGCTTTCAGAAAATATCTATGTGACCAGACATCCAGGCTCACAATCCATGTAAAAATGAAGCATTGTGCTGTAGGTCAGTTAATGTGTACTTACTTGTCCTTTTACCTTAATCTAGTGGGAGCAGAGTGGCACAAGCATCTTCTGGTTAATGCTTTATTGGTTTGCTCTGTTGACTTTGACAAAACCTGTATATTCAGATTTTCTCTAGTGGCTAGTAATTAGCATCCCCTTTCTGTGCCTCTTTAAATAGTTATCCAGGTCAGAAGTTAGTGTATCTGGAGCATTTTTTTTTTTTTCAGATGGAAGTTACCAGTTCCCCTTTCTGTCTAGGATTAGATGGTTGGAAGCTTTGTCTTAAAATGAATTTACAGCTGGGGTATTTTTATTCCTTCAGCACGACAAACTGTTGTTGCTTCAACTATTTTTATATGGACTCCACCCATTTCTAGCTGTACTTTTCAAATTATTTTTCTAGGGAAGAGAGAGCTAGTGACTTTATTTTTGCCTGAACTGGGGTGCCTAGTGACAGAACCAAATCTTAGCTGTGCTCTGCATCTGGAGGTAAGATTCTTACTAGGAGGAGAAAATTGGCAATATTTGTGTGAAAGTTTCTGTAATTGGATAACAAGATGTGAAATTGTTATCGATTTGTTTTCCTTCATTTTCTACTCCTTTTGTGGGGGCGGAAAGGCCTTGAAGACCCTCAACACTATACTTGAGATTATCCCACGGGAGCATAGAAGGTTGTTGCCTCTCTGTGAGGAGATATGCTTGCTTGCGTAAGTGATTTTTCCCTCCAGTTTCTGTACCTAAATACTCTCTTCTCTGCATTAGGAGTTAGTTATTTCCCTTTTAACGTGTGGCATTATGTTGTTTCAGGAAAGACCTAGCAGAAGCTATACTGGAGGTTGGTGGTAAGGAAGTTCTCTACCTTTACCTCATCTGTTTATTTATTATAGATGAATTATAATTGCAATTATATTTCCTTTGTCATGGGTTGATTTTTTTTAAAGGAGGCAAGTCAAATGTGCGTTAACAAAATATATATAAAACAAGTTAAATGCAGCAATGCATTAGCTCATTCTGGTTGGTATTAGTAATGGATATTGACTAATCAGGCAGGCTGAACTGATTTTTGTAGAAGAGTAATTAGATTGGCTTTACATATGTGCTTACAGAATATGCTGGCTGTTAGTCTCAAAAAAATTAAATTTGAATTGCTTTGCCATGATGTGGACAAAATCTAGCTAACAAGGTTAATGGCCTCTTGAGTGAATTTTTTTTTTTGTTTTCTTCTAATAATAGCACTTTTTAGAGTATTGGCATGGTATATGGAATGTGGCCTGATCCTAGTGGGTTAGTGATGAGTCTCTGCTCCCATCCCTTTCCTGAGCCCCAAGCATATCTCCCAGTGCTCTTGAGTGTGTTGTGGTTTGCAGTGCTCTGTACCTCGATCTCACTGAGCTGGGGGGGCTGAGGATGCCTGAGCCAACACTTGGCTGTTACTCTGCCCTGTTCTCCTAGGGGAAACCAAGGCTAGAGGATGGATGTGACCATGTAGTGTAAAATGGCAGGAGTAGCAATGCTATAACCTGTGGTTATGCTAGAGGGACGATATTTATCCTGTGCTTATGATTACCCTGCAGATTATGACCTTCAGGTTGGCCTTTTAGAAGCAGTTTGTAGGTTTTTGTCAAAAAACCTATATATATTTTGTCAAAAAACCTATGCTATAACCTGTGGTTATGCCAGAGGGATGATATTTATCCTGTGCTTTTGATTACCCTGCAGATTATGACCTTCAGGTTGGCCTTTTAGAAGCAGTTTGTAGGTTTTTGTCAAAAAGATGGAGGGATGACTTTGGTCACCACTTGTTTGAAGATAAGTATCTTGCTGAAGCTTTCAAAGAGATCAAGGATCAAGAATTTGAGACGGTGAGGGTCCTTATTTTGAAAGCAACACACTTGACAAGTATGTATAGGGGCTAGATATGGTTGAGTTAAGCCAGGGTGTCCTTGCAAGCAGTTCCTGCAAAACTGATTTTATAAGTACACATATTTGTGGATGGCATGTTTTACCTTACCTTTTTTTTATTAATATGGTAAATATTAAATGACACATTGCTAAAGTAGCGCCTATTTTTAAGTTATTTTACCCATAAAAAAGTTAAAAAAAAATAATAACAATGCATAAATAAGTTAATTTGTGGGGTTTATATTTGAGTTCTTACTGGTTTTAAGTTGGGTCTGACCTTTTGTAGTAAATTGAGGGTTTCTTCCCAGTGGTCTTTGGCATTCCACTGACCAGTTTTAAGCTTTTAACTGGACAGTAGATGTTTCATAGCAAATAGTTTTTCTACACAATAAAATAACTATTTGCAAAGGAAAAGTAGCCTGATTTAAAAAAAAAAAATGTCATTTGTCTTGAAGGACTGCAGAAAATTTCTTAATCTACTAAATGGAAGGCTTGGAGATAAAAAAAAAAGGTAAGCTGAGACCCAACAGAATAAATTGGTGGCACAATTACTGCAGAGGGGAATAAATAGAATTGTAAAATGGGTTGACTTATATTAAAAAATATTTCATGTCACGTGATGAATTAAGTTGTTTTTAAGAAGTAAATTTTTTGCATTTTTATGGTGATTCTTTTGAAAGTAAGCTCAGTGAAGATATTGCTTCACTGCTAAAATACTGTAGTCTCTAGCTTATCCAAGCTTAATTTACTTTTAGAAATTTTAGTAACCAATCTTATCGTTCAAAGATTAAAATTAATCTTATTAAAAATAAAATAATTGAAGTCAGACTTTAATGTTGAATATATCATGTGAAGTTTGCTTCTCTTCCAGAGTCTACACATTTCCTTGCATATCTGCTTTTGCTGGCGGGAAGGAGGTAATAGCCCTTAAAGCTCTGACACCTTCCCTACAGTGTTTTAGCTGTTGAAATGTTGCTTTCTGTGGTAAATGTTTGAGGTTTTTTCCCCTTGCTTTTTTTTCTTTGAGGGGTTCATTTTTTTGGGTTTTGGGTTTTACCTTTTTTTTGGTTGGGAATTTTGTTTTTTTTTCCTTTGGTTCCCAATTTTTTGTTGTTGCTTTTGTTTTTTTTTGGGCCAGTTGCCGGGGGCAAGGTTTTTTTTCTGGTTGTTGCCGGGGGGGGTTTTTAAAAGGAACCAGGGGGCCGGGCCGGCCCGGGTTCTTTTGGCGGGGTTTTTTCCGGCTTGCCGGAAACAAGATTAGCCTGATGCCCCTGGAGAAGGGTTGCAGATCCTGCAGTTTGCTTCACTGGCCTTCAATTGAATGAACAGTGGCACCATTCCTGACAGTCATATTGAATCAAACCCAAGTAGATGGAAACTAGTTCCACTGCTTCTCCTTATTTCAAGTGCTCAGAAACAGCTTCCACAGCTTCTTTCCTGGCGCAGTCATGCGAGCATTTGTGTATTTCCACTCCCATGGCTGAAGTCTGCAATGGGTGTGCTTGGGTGAGCAGAGGGCTGGCGCCCCACAGTGTCATCTGAACTCCTGTTTCTGCAAGGTGTACGGATGTTTATGTAGGGTAATGCTTTCCAGTTTTCTCTCATTAAAGAAAATTGCGACTGATATAGCAGTTGTGGGCCTTTTTGGGGAACAATAGTGCCACTCCTTTTCACCAGATGAAGAAGCCATCGGAAGAGAGCCTGGAGGAGTTTTGGATTGACTTCAACGCTGGCAGCCAGAGTGTGACTTTCTATGTGGATTGCAATAAGGTAACAGCAAAGCCCAGGTGCCTTTGGGTTAGCCTAAGCCAGTGGGCACTCCCTCAACCCTTCTGACATGATGGCTCTGGTTTTCCAAGGGAAAACTTTGGGACTCTCTGAGGCTGTCAAAAGAAAATGTCAAGAGCTACAGTGTGACGGGTAAGATTTTCCCAACAAGATTTTCTTATTTGGCTGGGGGTCCATGAGGCACACGTTGTAAACCTAAAATCTCAGCATCACCAAGGTGTTCCTGCCCATTCTCTTCCCTCTCTCCCTTGCTCTTTGGTCATCCTGCACTAGCTCTGCTCGTTGGACTTGTGCAGGGCCATTCTGCACAATACCCTCCCACCCTACTCAAGCAGGACAGCTTGAGGTGTCAGTTGATAGGTGCCCTGGGGAACAGAATAACCAAGACTCACTGGGAAAAAAATGAGCAAACGGAGTAACTGGAAATGCACAGGCAAGATGTAAAAGGCTGTTTTAAAAATCCCAAACAATTGCTCAGATGTTTTTGGGTTAACAGAAGAAGGTTTTGATCTAAAACAAATGTAATTGATTGTTTGGTTTGGTTTTTTTACACAGAGAAGGATAGACAAAAGATTGTTACAATTTCTTTGAAGAGACCCGCTCCTCTTTACAATAGAGCTGCATTAAAATTCAAACTGGTTTTCAGTGCTGAGTTTGAAATACTTGGTACGCTTAGAAAAGTCCTGGGAGAAGAAAAACTGATGGTAAGCTCTAATATGTGTGATTTTTTTCTTAACTATATTTTACACTGGACAGAACCATTCAGGTTTGTGTGATTTGTGTTTTGTGGTTTCCTCTGTCTCTCTTTACTATATATTTTTTCCCACTGTGGATTTATGACACTCCACATAGAGATGTTCTAAGCTTTGGCCTGGAAGAGAAATTAGATATTTTAGGAAAGAAATTTAAGGTTCTCAAATTTATGGTTTAAAAGCTGAAAGGTTAAAATGATTTGTTAATTAATTCATTGTGTTATAACCTTTCCTGAGTTTCTGAAATAGAAAATAAAGCCTGTGGCATAACTTTAAGTATGAACATGCTCTCATGTATGGCTCCAAGTGTTACATTGCACAGGGTGACCAAATTGTTACACAAAAACCTGGAGTTGTGCTGAAAAATACATATCGTAGACTGACTTTGTAGATAGGAGTTCAGGACAAAGAATAGAGTATTTATAAAATCTCAGGATTTTTTATTAGCTAATGTAAAAGACCATAAACTGTGTATGATTTTTTCTTTTTTCCCCAAATGCTAATATAGTTTTTTTTTAATTTGTAATTCATCCACAGTCTGTGGTGTTTGAAGAAAAGCTTACATGACAGTAAATAACCATAATATAGTGACTGTCATTTGCCCTTAAAGGAGCTAAGACCTTTCCAAATGATAACTCAGTTAGTATCCACTGATTTGTTGCTGGCAATTAGCAACTGTTAGTTTTGTATTAAGTAGCCAGCTTTACTAGATAAAGGCTACTCTTTTCAAAACCACTTTCACATGAGATTAATTCATATCAGCAGATAGTCAAGTCTGAAGATGAGATTGTCCATTCTGGGAAGGAAACTGTGCAGAATGAAGCAGGTGATTTTTTTTTTTTAATTGTGTTCTTTCATTAAATTTAAATATCTGTTTTCAATTATAATTTTCACTTGTAGTCTACAGCTTACAGTTAACCTCACTTAAAACAAAAAAAAGAAAAAGGAAAAAAAAAAAAAAACTCGCAACAAAAAAAACAAGCAATGCCCAAGCTCAGTCTTCTACTGTTCCTCCCTTGTGAGCTTGGTAAATCTGCTTGTGGCAGATGCTGAGTCCCTCTAACCCAGGGAGTGAGGGCTGGACACCATGGCCATGTATGTGCTGCTGGGGTGGCAGGGGGATGCTCAAGGAGACAGGATCTGTGTGTTGGCAGGTGGCCTGGCAAGGCACATTTCAGCTGCTGGCTGACCTCTGATGTGCAGAACTGTTCCTTCATCTGCAGGTGTGGTGGGATGCAGCCTCTTGTTGTCCGCTCTGGCTTGCCTGGTTTCTGGTTTGGCCATGCCATGTGGGTGCCTTTGGCCTCCTGGAAGCACAGGTTCTCTGATGAGCCAGTGCTTGCACCTTGGCACTTACAAGCTCTTCTCTGTGCAGTGGGGTGCATATGCTGGGGCAGCCTCTACTGAAGCTTCCTGCAGGGAGGCAACTTCTTGATTTTTCTGAGCAAGGTGATGTGCTAGTGAATGATGCGCTCCAGCCCTTGTCCCCAAGTGCAGTGGGTGATGCCTTGGAGGTGCCCAGAGCTGTTGTGGAAGAATGGCTGCGGGAGCAGAAGTGCTCACCTGCAATCCCTATTTGTGGGTAAAGGTGAGCAGCAGCCCAGCTCCTCTGCAGGAGGTGACCTGCTGCTGTAAATACCCTTTGCTGCAGGGCTGTCTCTGTGTGTGCCCCAGCTACAAAAGTAGTTGTCTGCCTTAAGGCAGGACAGGCTCTTGGCTGCACCTGGAATAGCATTTATTTCCATATTCTCACCACCCTATAGCCAGTGCTGTGTGTTTCTTTGAACTGGGCAGAGTAAGTTTTCCATCATCAAATATTGGTACTTCCTGTGCTGCCAGTGAACATCTCCTGCAAGGCATCTTCTTCCAGGATCATTTGGTGGATTTTTATTATGTTGTAAATGCAGTAGTTGTTGAGGTAACTTGGAGCTTGAAGTACAGATGTGTCCTTTTGGTGTCTGACCCAAAGGAAGGTCTAAGTCCAGCACTTGTCAAGAAAAGGAGAGTAACTCCTTTCCTTCTCATGCTCTGAAATTCTTCTGTAAGTCCCCACAAACTGTAGGTCAAAGCCTTAAGGAAAAGCTGCTTATAGCAAAAAAAGCAAGAGGTGTTTGAGATCAAAATTTGTTTTAAACAGGAAATGCTTTCTCAGCTCAACTTTGGTATAAAAGTTTTTGGAAGCTGTTTTTTTTTTCCTGTATGGTGGCCTTTTAACTTTGGAGGCTGGGGTTTGGCCTTGTTCCAAAACTGGCTGTATTTCAGGTTTTAGCATGATTACTTTTTGTGTGGATCCTTTCTTGATGTAATTTACTTGGCAAATAGTTCCACATCTTCTAAGGCTGTGAAATCACAGCTCTTCCTACTGCTGTCACCCACTGTCTTTAAAACAAATTAAGTTTGAAGAGCTCTTAGGGATAGCTAGCATTCTTTCTGTGACAACATTAAAAATAAATTTTTACTTTCCTCTAAGTTCCTGTGCATTTCAGATTTCTTCAGGTGAATACTTGAAAGAGCTCCTTCCAGCCCTAAATGTCTGGGGCAGTAATTTTTTCAGTAGTCCTTCCCATTTTCCTCCAGTTACAGCCTAAAATAAGCTAGAATGGAAGTCCTCCAGCTTCTGGAGATGCAGGTGAGCTAGGAGTTCCTTTATCAGTGCCCACTATGGAGCACACAAAGGTGCAAGGTGGGCACTGCTACTTGAAGCAGTCAAGGAGTACAAAGGGCAAAATTGGTAGTTAATCTGCATTGAAACAAATTTTGCAGTGCCTGATAGAGATTCAGTGGAGGAAAATAGAGATAGTGGAAAATCCCCCTGCTTTAGTCAGACACAGAGGCTTGCTCCATGTTTTCCAGAGTTTGAGTCAATGTAGCAATATAAGTAGCAAGGTGATAAACTTGTGTGAATTCATCAGTATTGATGAACCTATATGTTGTTTTTTTAGCATTGCAAGTCTTCACTGGGTACTTGAAAGATACTTGGGTTTGTTCTGTTAAATGTGAGCTTGGGACATGCCTAGAAGGTTGCACTGGTGCAATTTATGCATGCATCTGTGGGAATGGAAAGAAGGGGTGGCGAGTGTGTTCAGGTACTGCAACGACGTTCTCACCCATGTTGCTGTTCTGCAGAAGCACCTGTGCCCTCTAACTCACAGAGGTGGAGACATTCTTCAGGCCCTGGAAACGTGGAGATTCAAAAAGACAACTTAATCTCTCTGCACAGACAGCAGTTAACAGGGACTGTAGCAGTAAGTGGTGCATGATGGAGCAATCCTCGTGCCCCTTTTCACTTTCTCCAGTCTTACTTTTTTGCAGGTGTGACTAAAACCTTCTTTCAAAGAAAACTGGTTTGTATCTCTTCAGCTCAAATACTTATCTCCAGAGCTGCAATTTTGTTGCAATTTTGGCAAAATTGCTTTAAACAAAAAAAAACAAAAAACCTACTTCTTGTAAGGGGACAGTGGGATGCTTTTAGTGAGAAACCCATAGTATCACTTACAGCTAAAAAGGTTTTTACATGTGGACAGTGATGAATCTGCCATGCAGCTCTTGCCACAGGCAGCTGCTAAAAAATCTGTTTGTTGAAACCCTCACTTTTTTATTGATCATATGCATGTTTTGTTCATGGTTCCATGTCTTCCAGCAGAAAATGTCGGACTTTGGTGTTGCCATGGTTACAGTGAGCCAGCAGACTGATCCCCAAGGTGCTAACCAAGGTCAGGCATGGCTCCCTTCAGTACCTTGAGTATGACCCAGTTGTCATGCTGAAGGCTCTGCTTTTGTGGGTCTTACAGCAAAAACAGATAAAGTTTCAGGGTAAAACTATAGTTTCCTTACTTTCTTCAGGAAAAAAGTCCAAAACTCCATCTTCAGGGATGAAAGCTAAGCCTAGGTGAGTGTCTTGCAGACAGAAAGTTGCAAAGTGAGTTTTTTGCAGGTTTTTTTTTTCCTGTGTGTATGTTTGATTTTTTTTTTTTTTCTTCTGGGATTTTAATGTACATAATTTGGAGGTTTTTCCATCAATTACAAAATTGAAGATTTCGTTTTGCCACCTGGTCATCAGGGCTGTTTGCCTGGAGTTACAGTACTTTGGAGTTGCTGAACAGTTTGGTTACTAGATTGGCAGCTGCTTTAGTGTGACTTTTTTCTTACCATGGATTTAGTCCAAATGCAAGGTGAGCCCACAGCTGATTTACAGGCAGTTAAACTTCAGCTGTGAAACCTGAGCTTGCCAGATATGAGGTTGTTCCTAATGGGCACCATGACTTTGTGATAGATTATGTGAAGTTGAATTCACCTTGGCTTGAATTCACCTTTTTTTCCCAGACCTTTGCAGGACAGGATTTCTTGTAGTTAAGGAGCTAGACTTCTGTAGAGCTATTGATTACCTTTCTTTGCTGTGCATTAAACCATTCTTTTGGTGCTAACTGGTCCACGTTTGGCTTCCCCCCCCCCCCCCAACTTAGTACTTCACAAAGGTATTGGTCTTTAGATTAACAGCTCCCTCACGTGTCCTCTTGTTCCCAGTGAGAAGCCCCTAGAAGAAGAACCTATGGATGAGCAGATATTAAAGGTATGTATGCCTTGGGGGTCCCCCTGACTGAATAGATACAGGTAGGGAAGAGACATTCTGGTGGAGCTGTAAAGAAAGCTGGGAGGGGTTGACCTACTCGTGCCTTTAAGCAGTGTCCTGAGCCCACGGAGTGTCACACCTGACATGCTGTGCTGCTTAGCTGCAGAGGCAACAGCTGCCAGCCTCATCCTAGAGGGGCCCAGCCAAGAGTTTTGAGCTCACTGGAGTTTGTTCAGCACACAGACAGCCCCGAAGGAATGTGCTGTGCCTGTGTCCAGTGGTGTGTGGGGTGTACTTGTGTGTCACAAGACTTGCACACCTTCCTGAAGGGGGAGTATTTGCTTCCTGAATGGAAGCAAGCCTTGGCAATCTATCTATGTGTTTATTCAGTTTTGTATTTGGCCTCTAATGACTCTCCCATGTAAGAATTTGCAACTTGGGTAAATTACCAAGTAACTGAGAGTCACTTGTAGTTGCACTTGGCAAGTTCTATTGGTGTGTCCATGTATTAAAACAAGTAAGTCAGTGCACTATGTGAGAAAAATTAAATTCCCAAAGCAATGTTTTTGAGTTTAGATACTTATATAAGAAATCCCATTTTAGATTTGTTCTTGGGTTTATGTTTCCAGGTGCTAATTTCAGAATTTAAAAAAAAATTAATGCTAGTTGTTTTGCAGCACTTGCCCATTCTACAGTGAATTCAGAGATTTTGAGTAACTTTCTCTCACCCTCTTGACCCCTCAGTTTCAGCTCTCAGATTCATCATTCAGATGAATCCCTTACTTTGTGGTAGGAAAGTACCACAGGCAACAGTTGGACCTGGAAAATTGTTGTAGATGGAGGAGGGAAGTTTCCTGGCACACCTTTTATCTGCTTTTTCAAGGCTCTAGAATCAGAACATGACTTTAGGTATTGTTGTTTTAGATCCCGCAATTCTCTCCTTTACCAAAGGACGTTACCAGCAAAAATCAAAACAGGGAAAAGAGTTTGGCTGAGAAGAAGGCTGAAGGCAGGTATGACATACAAGCTCTGTGACCATGCAAGAACTGGTACACCAAGTCATTTTAGACCTTTTCTAGCACACGGGGAGGAAGGGTGTCCCCATGGGGGGGTGGCCTGACTGTATCTAGAACAGGCAGGAAAGCAAGTATGAGGCTATGAAGGGTCATAACTGGTCTCTGTAGAGCCCTTTGGGTGCCCAAAGTGATAAAGATCTCAGAAACTTAACCCTAGCTAACACTCTTTCTCAATTTCTCCCCTTGCACCCCCACATCTGTCTGCACTTAAAGCTAAGGGCACTGCAGGAAGAAACACTTGAAGGTTTGGGGGCTGTATGCAGCCTGTAGCACTGAAAGTCTGCCTTGTTGAGCCCTCCTCCTACACTCTGCCAAGTGTTGTGTTTAATGCCTGTTCTGGGGCTTCCATGGGAGTCCTGCTTCAGCCCAATGTCTCTTAGCTCAGAAAACCTCCATAAACCCCAAGTGCCTAGATGATTTCTTGACTGACTGTAGGTAAGAATAGGAAAACTTGATGCAGGGCTTAATGAAGTTTTTTGTTTTGTGTGTTTTAAGACAATTTGATGCAGCAAATACCTGTTTTAAAACAGGAGAAGCAGTGTAGAAGTTAGAGGTGAGGAACTTAGCTTGGTCATTCTGCTCCCTCTTGTGTTTCACGTGGAAATGAACGTTTCCTTCCTTCGGGAAGCTTTGGTGAGGATCTCAGCTCTTTAGTCTTCTCATTCTTTTACTAGTAAAAAGAAGATGTACTGTATATTGAGCAGTTGTTATAGTATTTTTTTTAGAAATAGTTACGATTTGGAGAGAGCTACAAAACTACAATTAAGTTTAAATGTTGGAGGACATGAAAACAAGATCTAGGTGTGCACAGAGAAGAGATTAGAGAACAAATATTAAATACTAGAATTTTCAAAAAGTAATTAAAAGGAATTTTTAAAATGCTTCTGGTGTTTTATTTCTACTCATTACTTCTTCCTACCATGTACTACTATGGGTGATGGGAGAACAAAATACCTTCTACATAAACAGAGATAGGTTAATTTCTATGTTTAGAATATTCCTTAAAACAGGTGCTATTTTTAAAAGCAAGAATCAAGACAGCAAAAAGACTAAGTAGAAAAGAAGCAAGTAGTTTTTAGAAGCTTAGAAAACAGTATTTTTAGGCATATAAGGTATTTGAGGAAAGGGGGCTTAGAAAAAAAAACATGTTATCACCTCCCTATTCTTAATGGAATGATTCTTCACTATTGTACATCACTGCCATATTTATGTTGATTTGCAGGAAGGAACTCTATGATTTTGAAAGCTCAGACTCCTCAAGTCACAGAAAGGTAAACTCGAAACAGAAGCTCAGCGCCTAATGGAGTAGTAGCTTGAAGTAGAGGACATAATTTACTGCAGAAATGCTGTAAGGATGGACACGCTGTTATAGCAAGACAGACAAATGAGAACTTGGTTTTTATTTTTTTATTCTTTGTGTTGTGGAAATGTTTTTTTTTTTTAGTGGCAAGAATGCTCATCACTGTGTGAATTTTCTGGTGGGTAATGCATGATAACACCAACAGACATTTGAGCTGTTGCTTCAGTGAGGCCAAGGGATGTCTCTGATTGAAGGCCAACTTCTGTGCTTTCCTGAATGTCAAAAGCAGATTGCTGAGCATCCAATTTGTCCTCCTAGGCTAAATAGAAGAGACTGAAATCCCCTTCAAGCTGTGCTTTGCAAACTGGGAATCCCTGGTTAAAACTCATTCCTCACAAAACTTTTGTTGAAAATTCTGCTTAACTTGCCTTTGTAGACTCTCAAAAAAAAAAAAAAAAAAAAAAAAAAGGGGGGGGGGAATAAAAATTAATCACTTTGTTTGAAACTTTGCTGAGTGTGGGCTTTCCTAGCAAGTTGTGAACTTGCTCTTGACAGCTTCAGTCAAGGTGGCTGTGCTGGACAAACCTTTTTGCTTTCAGCTTTTTCCCTGATTAGGGGACTGTCACTGATGCCTGCTAACTGTGAGGCAGTGGGTGCTGAATGGAACACCCCAAATTTCTTTTTATTATAAACTGGACATGGCTGATCCTTGCTGCTGCCACTGGGTGTCAGCATAAATCTCTGCTCCATGGCACCCTGCCCTTGTCCCAGAGCCATCCAGGGGCCCTGCACCTTTCTCACACCTTGCTGGTGCTGCTATTGATTGATGGTAGTGCTTAAAATGATCATTATTCATAAGGCAAAGAAAAGAGAAAAGAACTCTGTTTAAGGTTCAGCTGTTTATCTGTTATAATTTATGACACTCTTTCATTCAACAAATCCAATTCCATTAAAAAGTGAAATTTCTGGGCAGGACTGGTTATCAATTTTCCTTCTGAATTCTGATCTATTTTCAATATATAGAGTATTTTATGGGGTAACTGAGCTCTAAGAAAACTCTGCTTTCAGGTTTCTAATGCCAAAGGAATGATTATTGCCCAGAAAAATTCTTCAAAAAGTCAGAGGTACAGTATTATACACTCAGTGTTTATGAACCTTTTGCTATGTGAATAAGGGCTCATAGCTTTAAGATCTTTTAAGTTAGGATCCAAAAGGCTGTGTGATTTTTCTAATACAGTAGTTCCTTGCTTAGCTACCATACTATCTGTGGATGTTACTGATATCAATATTTAAATTAGTACCTGAGAATATAAAGATTACTGGAGAAAATAGTGACTCCTGTTGACTTTGACAGTAAGATTTTAACTCTTAAACATCATCCTTTCCTGACGATATGCAGAAATGACTGAATTAATTTTTGAAAAATGCTTAAACTCCCTGCCTTGCTTTGGCTGCCTTCCAGTCACAGCAAGCTTCCAGGGACTTGCCACCTCTATGAATGCAGATTAGTTTTTATTTTAAACAGTGTTGATTTCTAGATATCCTTAAATTGCTACTCTCAAAATCCAGGCAAAGAAAAATTTGGCTGCTGCATGCTCTTTAACACTTTGGTTCTTCTGCTGAACTCTTAAGGGGCCCCTTGCCACCTCTATTTGTCTGTGCCCATTCCACCATGCTGTGGTGTGTTATTGCTGTGTTTGCTACTCTAATTTTGGGTCTTTGTGTTACTTGGCAGGACTTACGAAACAAAAGGCAAGAGCAAGGCATTAAACAGTGTTGAGAGAAAGCAGGTAGGTTGTCTATGCTTGTGCATCCCTAGAGCCTTTGATTGTTGCCGATTAGAATGCTGTGTATTTCTACCTGTAAAATTTGTCAAACCCATAAAGAAACTGAAGTTTAAGGCCTACCCAGTGCAGAGGTGGAGCAATGTGATTCTGGTGGCCTCTAAATACTCTTGTCATTTTGAAAGCAGTGATCAGGATGCACCATCACTGCCAGACCAGCTAGTGAATTGTCTGTGTTACCTGTTCTTCTCCCGTGATGTGCCACTGGATGCAACTCAAACACACTGAAGCTTTCCTCCTTGTAAGAGTGATCTTATTTTAGGCAGAGAGGGAGAGACAAGGAAGAAGGATACTGTAAAAACCCCATACTGGCAAAAGGCAAGCATCTGCCTCTTGATGTTTTTATACATCTGTTTCAACAGCTGTCTGTGGCTGTTTTGGCAGATTTCACAGCTTTACATGCTGTAATGCGGGGAGGATGAAATGGGATAACTTGGTAGCAGCTGAAATGGAGTGGCTGAGGGGCTTCTGAGCGAAAAGGATTTAATTGTGTCTTTAGTTCAGTTACAGGAAACATCTTTTCTCTGAAAGCAATAATGAACATACAAGCCCTGGTCAGAGTGAGAGAAGCTGGATTCTTAACTCTCAGATACAGGCAACGCCAAAATTTGACTATACCCGAAAAAGACCCAGGGTGAGAAGTAAATTAAAAGGTAAGCTTAGTCTCCTACTGACACTTAGCTGTGCCGGATGAACTGAGCTGCAGAAAAGTAAATGCTGATGATGGTTTGAAAAAGGAGAATTTGGCCAAATCCTGGCTTTCCTGAGTGGGAGAGAGCAGGCTTGAGGCCAGCAGCAAAGGGTGCCCTGTGGAGGAGATGCGTTGCACACCCTTGTACTTGAACTGGGCTCTTGTCTCCTTCCCAGTTTGGGGTTCAAATGTCCAGATGGACGTTTGGCACCTAAACAAACTGTGTGGGTGCAGCCCTCTCTGTGATGGTACTGAAGAGCCCATGGATCTTGAGCTGATGGCTCTGTTGGTGCTCTTGACCACATTACGAGGAACATCTCTCTGAAGCGACTACACCTCCTTCCTGCAAATTTCCCCTCCTCGCCTCCCTAGAAACATCACTGGCTTGGCAAGTAAACCTTGAAAATCCTCACCATTTGCAGACCAGGGCATTCTCCTCCCCTGTTTATGCAGTAATAAGCCAGTCATCCTCTTGAGTGTCAGATGTGATCATCTCTGATAGTATTCTCTGCTTGGGCCTGACCAGCAGCAGACGTCCCCTGCAGCCATGATCCAGGGCTGTGTGCTGCTGTGACCACCAAATGGAAATCAAATTGAACGAGGTGGAATGTTTCTCTCCCGCTCATGGAGAAATGATGCTTGTTCAGGTCGCTGTTGGACTCTGTATGGATTTAAAAGCAAAAGAAAGTTGAGCTTCAAATTATTCTTTATACTGGGTTTCCAGGGCAGTTTGTTCTCACTCCAGTGTCAACACACTGTTCTTGCTTGGGACTTGGGGACTGTCAGACAAGATGCTGAGCATGTTTTTTTTTTGTTGTTTTGTTTTTTTGTTTGTTTGTTTGTTTTTTTTTGCTTGTATGGCTGCTCTGGATGCAGTGATTTGTGTATGTTTGCATCTGTCTTTGTTAGAGAAAGGTGTTTTTTTGACGTTTAATGGAAGTGTTGTGGAGTTTTATCTTGTAAATGGCTAGAAGAGCGAAACTGAAAAGGTTTGCATTGTGACTAATTCAGTTAACTGGGTAAAGTACCTGCTTAACATTGCCAGTAACCAGGGAAACTTTTCTTCTTGCAGTGCTTCCACTTTCTTCTTCAAGCAGTGACAGCGACTATGAGCCAAAGAAGGTAAGGTGTGATGCTTTAGTGCCTCAGATTTAAAAAACATCATGGATGTAAGATGTGTACCAATGAGCGAGATTTAAATAAACTGGTGTTATTTTAATTCTCAAATGTTCTGATAGATTTGTCTGCTGAGTGCTGTTGTGACTCTCTTGGTCTAATGGAGGAGATTTTAGGAAAACATGGTAAACCTCATGGAAATTGATAAATGCTGCATATCAAATACATATATATGTGTGTATGTATATATATTTGTATATACATATTTGAAATACAGAAAGTCTGGGGAAAAAAAATTATCTTCCAGAACTAGTAGTCACACTAAAAGCTTTTATTTTCCCCCTGGAAAACTTTTCTTTTTTAACCACAATGGTTGTATTCTGCTTATAAGAAACAATATCAGATGTATATCCCCAATGCCTAAAGGGAGAACTTTTGCATACATTGAACTTCAGGGCATAGGTCTCCTTGGTGCTAGATAGAGCCATCAGTATGTTAGGCATATTTTATGTATATATCTACTCTTAGTGTATTTAAAAAACAGATCAGTCATTCAAAGCTCTCCCTCCAAAACAACGCCCCAACCCCTACTTCTGTAGTAATGTTTAAATAAGGCTTAGACTTTGTTTTGTTTTAGAAGAGAAAATCAAGGCAAGGAGCTCAAAAGGAGATGCAAAGGAAAGAAAGCCCATCTAGCTCCAAGAGAGATGATTTACCCACAGTGAATCTTTCTGGTATTTTTATTTTGATCATCTTCAGTGCATTAGAAGAGTTTTGGTATGTGTGGGTCTGTATTTTTGGATGGATGAGCTTTTTGGTGCTGGGTTTTTCTTTTTGATTTTGCCACTTTTTCTTCACATTTTTTCCATAAATATTTGTCTCGTGATATTTCTTTGTGATGGCTATGAGGGGTTGATACCGTCTGTATAGATAGTCTCTTGTACAAGGAGGAGATAAACTGGTGCTCTTGAGAGGTGAAAGAATGAATTTAACTGACAACCACCAATAAAACAGCCTTTGGGCTGAGTCTGAGCCACCACCTCTTCCCTGTGTGACAAGATAAAGGAGAGGGTAGAGGGCTTGGGTTTTACTTTCTGTGCCATTAAATTGAGATAAAGGATTCAAACTCTATTGCCTGTGTCATTTATTCATCTCTCACACAGATGAAGTGCTCTCAGATAATCCTGGAGGGAGTCCAATGCTGCTTGATATATCTCCCAGGAGCCCTTCCACTGATGTGGAGAAAGCCACACAGGTGCAGAATGCAGTGCTTAGTCTCCTCCCAGTCTGCTGTCAGGCTACCTCTACCTGAAACCAGTGATTTGTGTCCCTTTGTTTCCTGTAAAAAGACAAGCCTCTGGCAGCTTGTCTGTAGGGTGGGTACTTTCTTATTTTGTTTCCTTTCTCTCCTTAGAAGTTTCTTGGTGCATCAGGCAAATTATCAAGAGAGGAAGAAAATAGCAAGCAGAATGACTCAGGTTTGTTACTCTTGATAACATGGAAGAGTTGGCTAAAAGCAGAAAGAGGTGGTGCCAGAGCTGTTATTTTCTTTTCAATACAAATTAACAGTGATTTTTTTAGCGATTACTATTTTTTTTGCTAAATTCTGTTTCTGTGTTTTGTATATCATGACAGATTGTGGTAAGATGCTTTTAGATACACTCATTAATTCATTGCTAACTCTTAAAACCTGTCCTTGACTATAGGGGGACTTTTGTAGATTTACGAGCTAATGACCCAAGAGACACACAAAATATAATAATTTTTAGTGTTTTGAAAGTGAACTGCAGCTTCAGTTTAAACAAAACAAGCATCCCTTCGAGTTGTTGATTTTCTTTATACCTAAGAACATGGTTGTAAGCCATTGCTATAAGCATTTGTTAAATGGGGACTTGGATAATGCTTATTACTGCTGTAGCTTTTTAATAGGTAAGTGGCATGTCGGGATCTTTTTTTAAGATGAAACTGAACTTTCATAAACTAACTCAAAAGTGCAGCACACTCTCTTTGTGGTTGGAAACAACTGAACTTCAAGCAAGTCAAGCAGCAATGAGGTTATTTTCATCCTAATAATTTTCAGTGTTGATGTAGTTCCGAGAGTCCGATTTACTGTTGTGACTATGGAGTGAGTCACTGAAATTTTGCAAAAGCATCCCTTTTCTCATGAGCTGTCTCTGTTTGTGTTCCCAGTATGTCTTTTACCTGTCCAGCATTTTCTGAATACACCTTCACTGCAATAACACATCTGTTTAATTTTGGGGGAAGACAGATGCTGAGGGCTTAATTTCTATCACTGTTCACTGTACAGCCTTACAATTGGAGAGGAGTTGTTGCCATGCAAAGGCACAAGCAGGGTTATGCTCAGGAATTTCAGGTGTGGTCTCTAACTGCATTTGGACTCTCTGTGAACTCTAAATCTACTCCAGGATGCTTCTCTTGGTGTTACTGTCTGCCTTGTTCTGGGCCCCACCACCTTTCATTCTGCCCTACAGAGACTCCAAGAAGATGATTTGTCAAACAGACAACTTGCCGAGTTCCAAAAAAGTTCACAGTGAGACAAAAGAATGGGAGTCTAGTTTGTTTCTTTGGTTTTTAGCAGATTTTCCATAAAGTAGAGGCTGCAGCTTTGATTTTGATTGTTTGGATTGATTCAATATCCTTTTCAAAATTTTTCTTCATAATCAGTTTGAGAACTTGGTTTGGAAAAGGGAATAGGAAGAAGCTGGACACCTGAGGTTTTTGATGGCCAGAGTAAAAGGCCAGGAAAGGAAGTCTCTCCATCTTTAAGATGGAGACATGGAAGCTTTCCAAATACCTGTACAACACTAGTCAGGCTAGTTCCCTGCTTTTGCAAGGGCAGATGCTTTCAGGTCAAGACTTCCTGTGTGATGCCAGACCATAAAATGAGACTGCCTCTATTTCTGAAGCATTGGTAATTCCAGTGGTGGTTTCTCCTTGAGCAGGCACTGTCACGTACCTCGTGCAAAAGGACAGATTTCTTTTGAAAAATCTTCTCTTTCTAGATATCCTGAGTGACACTGTCACAAAGAAGCCTAAACTTTCTAATTTGGAGAAAAATCACTTGCCTTCTGAGATTAACCATACACCAAAGAAAATGTCTGATTCAGTAGAAGATGAGGTGGAGATGCAGAAAGGTAAAATCCTGTTGGTAATTAAGGTGAAGTGCTTAAATGCTTTCAGCTTTCCTTTTCTTGTGGTAGAAATCATAGTCACATGGAATCTTGAAGAGATACATTTGTCGAGAGGCCAACTTCTCCAAAATCCAAAAGTAAAAATTAGCAGGAGGTATTGCAGCACTGCCAATGGCAGTGGATACTGTGTATGTAGAGGTGTGAATAAGGAAATTTGGGTTCCACTTGGTCAGCTGCTCCATAACATCCACAAGATCTACTCTGAGTGTGATTTTCCAGAGTTATTAAAAAAAACATCACACACAGGGGCTGGGAAAAAAGTATGCTGGTAATGGATGAAGTAACTGCAAAATACTGTAACTCTGAGGACGAGAGGATCAGGCTTTCCTTACAATGCCTAAGTAGAAGACAAACAGTGGTGGCCTGACTATTTTCTGCCTTTATTCTGTGTGTTTGCCTCAGTATCTGTAAGTAGCTCTTTGTGTTGCTCTATTGTGCCTATCCTTCCCTGCTGCTTTCTAACAAGTATTTCTCTGGGGATTTTTGAACTCCTTTCCCTCCTGCTTGTGAGCTCTAGAAGAGCAAGCCCCAAATTCCAGCTCTCTAACAGAAGTTGTTGCTCTCACGAATGACAATCTCTTAGTAGCAGGAAGATTTATATTCCAGAATGTCTTCCAGCATGATGCTAACTGGGCATGTGCTTCCTCCTAGGTCAGGAAATGATCAGTAGTGTAGATGATGCGTTTTTTTCCAAGATTTTCCATGAAGATTTGAGTGAATCAGAAGTGATTTTTGCCCTTGAAAGATTTATTGTCCAACTGAAGAAATATTTCTGGGTAATGTGAGCTTTTTCAGCACATGTGGCAATTGATCATGTTATGTGAAATTACCTTTCTATCTCAGGGAGAGTTGGTGCAAATATCCCATCTTTAGTTTGTGTTCAAGAGAGAGACATTGCTTTGGCAACAGTGTCTGTTAGTCTGGAGCTCTTAGAAGTATTCTACAGAACTTATATATTCTGAGAAGTGTTACAGGGAAGGCATAAAGGAAATTTTGGTTAAGTTTTTCTTAACAACACTGCCCTGAAGTCACATGGGTTACATTGAGGCATTTTGGTGTAACTACTGTGACTGAATTAAATCAGATTGTATCTGTAGCACTGATGTGTGTCATCTTACTGCAAATTAAATTTGATTTAAAATGGTTTCTGCTAAGATGAATGACAAGTTCCTGCAGAGGAACATGTTTTCCAGGGGAATGTTTTGCTAGCTAGACTTCTAGGTTTTGACTTGGGCCATTGCCTATCCCTAACTGTGCCTCCCATGGCTAGTCCCGGTACAAAAGGATTGAGGTCAGCGCACAGGATGTCCTGAGATCTTCAGAGAAGAACTTGTCTGCCCAGCTGAACCTGATACATAAGTACAGGTAAGTGGTCTGGTGCTGGCTGAAAACAGCTTAAATTTTCTGTCAGTTTTGGTTGATAGTGAAAACCAACCTGAGGGCTGGATGTTGTGCTTATGGTTTGTATCACAAAATAACTTGGGTGTCTTTTTTTTTTTTTTTTTCCCTTGATGCAAGAAGAGTTTCAGAAGTATAACTCCTGGAATTGATCCTAATTTTCTTGTAGGTGGAGGGGATGGGTTACTTCATGTAAAGCAAGCTTGAGTTACAAACAGTTGATGGAGCAGTGCTTGGACTGTCTTCTGTTTGTTGTCGACTTAGTAGCTTCTATTTCTAAATCTTTTAAGAAAAAACCAGGCTGTGACTTAATGAAATGGAGGAGAAGAAAAGGCATCTCTCAGATCCTGAATTTCTTAGATAGGTGCTAGATAAAAAAATAAATTCTAATATTTATGAATTTGGTATAAGTGAGATACATCCTGTTTGTACTTGTAAGAGTATCAGGCTTCTGTATCTATTGCACATTCACTTTTTAGGATTTAGATCAAATGGGGTATGAAATAATAACCTTTAAAGTAAAAAAATCCCTGCTGTCAATGGGACCTCTATGAGCAGAATTTGCTGTCATTAAGGTACATGGAGAATTTTGAGTTCCAAAATAAAAAAAATGGGATGTTTTGTGGTGCAAGATAAGAGTAGATGGCAGTGAGATGCTTCAATGCTTGGTTGCCAATTAAGTAACTTGGATCTAACCAGGATCACAGGATAGCGGATTCAGGGCTGTGCTGAAGTTTTCCTACCTCAATGCAGCTGGAAATGGTGGCAAACTCAAGTCAGTAAGGATGTTGCAACCACAACCCTTTTTAAGGTTTATAAATTGCTTGCATCCTGTACATCAAGCCTAAGGCAGGAAAATCCATAGAGGCTGTTTGTATCAATAGAATCATAGAATGTTTTGGGTTGGAAGGGGCCTTAAAGAGGTCTTTAGCACAGAAAATCTCTGCTGAACTCCCTGGAGCCTGGGAGAGCATTCAGTACAAGTATTGTGCTGGGAATTTGTTTATATGCTCTATCCCAATCCTCTGACTGCTGTTTGGGACAGGCTGTTGAGCCCTATTTATTTGCAGTGGGACTTTGGTGCAGCTATTCACATGCTCTGTGACATATCTGAGAACAAATCTGCCCCATATAGTTCAGCAGTGAAATTTTCTTCTGCCTCAGGGTAGGTTTGGTGCTAAAGGGGTTGACTGCACATTGAAGTGGCAAAATTGTTTCTTATCTCCATCACTAGGCTGAATAAATTTGAGACCTTGCGGAAGATTGTTGTTGAAGAGCTTGCCAGCCTTGAGAGGGAAACTCAAATTCTGGCAGTCATGGAGAAGGACGCACTGGTGCGTACAGCTTCTTGTGTGCCGGCCCGAAAAGGTGCCCCTTCCCAGGTAACAGAGGGCTTCTTTACGCTCTTTTTAGGATTTCTGGAATGTGCAGCTGCTCAAACTGAATACCTTCTTCAGCCAGCAAAAGGAAAGGTACATCTCTGCTGGCTGTCCTGCATGCTCACAAGTCCTCTGATGGTCATTAGGCTGATGGTACCCTTGCTGATAATGGGAAAGGATTCTAAACCTAGTGTGGCATCTTCACTTGGTGTCCGCTGATTGAGCTTTTGCAGCCTTGTGAGGGTTTTCACTTGGAATTAGAGTGTAATGAGGGAACTTTGTATGGGAAGTTGTGCAGGAGAGGAACCTTGTTAAGGAGAGCTGTACCAGGATCTGGAACAACATGCAGTGCATGACTATGTCTAGGAGTCAGAGGAGGTGGAAGGAGGTGATAATTTTCTGTATAAAAGACACTGTTGGCTGGCATAAATGCTGAGTAAAATCCTGTCATTCTCAGGTTTATTTTTGGTGGTAAATATATTTGTTCAAGTTTCACCAGTAAGTGCTTAATGAAAAATCAGCTAAGATCATTTTTCTTTCAGAACGGAATCTCTTGACTCAGCCTTGGGTGAAACGACAAAGGGTTTTGCCAGCACTGTCCAGAATACAATGGTATGTGTGGTACAAAAGCAGCTCCCTATGGATGGGGGACTGAGCTCTGTCCTGACTGATTGGTGTCAGAAGTGAGAAAATGAAACTGAAGTCCTGGGAGGGGAAGCCTTTGGTTGACTGATTTGTGGGACTTGTTCTTTGTTGAGTGCTCTGGCCCTAATGCATGGAAAGTGTTGAGAAAGAAATGTTTGACAATGGGAAGAGATCAAACAGTACTTGCCTGGGGGAGAAGATGAAGACAAGGGCCATTAGGTAGTGATGTTTCTCCTGAGTTCACACTCTGGAGCAGTTTCTGTGTAGTTTGTGACCCTCAGTGCATTTGCCCTTGGAGTTACACATCCATGACAACCTGTGGCTAGGGGCTCTGCAGTTTAACAACACCTTGCATGCTTTCTCTCATTTACTCTTTAGGTCTGCTAACTTCTAGCCTTGATGTATTCAAGGTTGATTTTTTTCAAGACAATCTTTATTTAACTCTGTTGAAGTTCTTAAGCTCTCCAGAGTGTAATCACTACTTTATGCCCTTGTTTTTACTTGTAAAATAAGAGAATAATTAAAATAATTACTTGTAAATTAAGACAATACTTTGCTAACTTTGATACAATGCTTAGTTTCCATCTGGTTCACTCCATCATATGGATGTGTATTTTTGCTACTGCTGCTGTTCTAGGTCTGTGTCCAGATCTGATGGCTTTGGGAGTTTAGCATTTCTGAAGTAAAATTGATGGATTACTGCCATGTGTGGGATGCCATGTGCCTGCACTTCACAGGGCTGAGAAAGCTCCTTGTGTTGAAGGAACAACCATGCCTGTGGTCACCACAGTGGAGTGAGCCTGGGATCTTAAAAAAGATGCTGAAAACCAGGGGCTTGTATGTTTTAGCAGTTAAAGTTGGAATCTGGAGCCTTTCTGAAGGGAAAAGTTTCCATTATGAGCGTTGAGTTGCTGAGGGACACAGGTGCTCCTGAATAAGGACACTCAAAGAGTAGCAGGGCTGAGAAAGGAGCACTTGTGATCATGGCAGCTGCTCATCCTGAAGCACCTGTTCCAGGGTAGGTGCTTGAGAATTAAGAGCTGAGTCTAAATATGCTTCCAGGTTCTTTGCAATTTCTTATCTTGTAGAGTTTCAATGTACATATAAATTTTTGCAGTTTTCTCTTACCTTTTTTTTTTGTTCTTCCCTGCAGCATGAACACTCAGTGGAGAAGGCAGAAGATGGTGTGGTCATTGTTCCTTCTGACTAGCAAACCCCTGAATTCATTATTGCTCATGGCATTTGAGCACTTTGTGTGCAGCACAGACAAGATGATTCTGTGAATGATGTTAGTCTATTCTAAATGAAAAGAAAGTCAGGAAAAGCATTATGTTGAGCCTTTTTTTTTTTTTTTTTTTTTTTTTTTTTTTTTTTTTTTTTTTTTTTTTTTTTTTTTTTTTTTTTTTTTTTTTTTTTTTGCCTAAAAAGAATATATAATGTTAAGTGGTCCAGTTGTGACCCCTGAGTTGGATAACAATTTTTTTCTGGAAAATTGCAAGATTGGGTCTCTTACATATCAAAGAAATTTAAAAAATCAACTAAAGATAAGGATGTAGCTGTCAAATTGATGGATCTGTTGGCTTACTTTGACTGTTCTGCTAAAACCTTTATCAAGTGTAAAAGCACTTAACAATAGATTAAAAATAAAAAGTTGTTTGCTTAGGGTAACAGTCTCACTCTTTCCTTCAAATTGATGCACTGTGAGTGTCTGGAAAGGTGCTCTAGAGTTCTGTGTGCCTTGCATGGGATGTGTTAGGTATAGCCTCTCCTGTGTGTATGCAAGTGTGGGAGCTGCTGGTTTGACACCATTGCCACTCAATTCTGGATTGTAGAGCTGAAAGCAGAGAGGGCTCCATTGTCCAGATGCCTTACAGCAAGCTGGAGACTGCAGAGGGCAAGAAATTCAGAGAACTGAACAGAAAATGGGAAGTGAAGCAGGAGAAATTTTTTTTTGCCACCAGTGACTTTTGGTTCCAAGGAGAATTCAGAATACAGTGGACAACACCAAGGATTAGACTTGAAATACCATCAGAGGTCTCTGGAAAGTAAGCAGCAGATAACCCATGCTATTCAATACTGTCCTCTGCTGTGGCAGAGTGTGACAGAGTTCCCCAGAATATAGTTACTCTTCACAAGAGAGTGTGTTCTTGCAAAAACAGCATTAGTGCTAATGCACCTTAATGAATTTGTGGGAATGTGGCAGATTTCCAGGTATTGGGTTTTTATCTCCTTAACTTAGAGAACCAGCCTCAGATTGCTGTATGGGTTAGAGTTGAGGAAATCCTCCCCTGCACAAAATATATCTTCATAACAAAAGCCCAAACCCTGGCAGGGTTTGTTTCATAAATAGGGCTGATGCTGTTCCTACTTGAGAAGGTCACACAGGGGTAACACCAGCACAGCAAGAAGCTGCTGTTGCCCTAGTGTTACCATTTTATGCTTATTTCTTAAGTAGTCCTGACTAGGGCTGGCATGAGCTGAAGTTTTTTCATCCACATCAAGTTGCACTTGGTGCTTTCTTCCTGGGGTGGTTTAAAAGAAAATACTTCTTCAACCCTGCCATTTCCAAAAGTTCAGATCTATTGGTCTGCCCCTCCTATTCCTAATGTGAAGGGCTGAAATGCTGGTTTTACATTCACTGACTTGTGCTTGTTTCTTGGAGGGCTGGCCCTGGCCCTAGTGACCTGCCTACACTGCATTCTCCTGCTATTCTTAAGTGTTCTTACAGTTGCTGTTTAATTCTGGACTCTCAAAGCTCTCAGCTGAAGCAGCTGTGACTTCTGGGAGATGAAGCCATAACCTCTGTGAGCAGCTGTGCTTTAGTCTGGTAAAACTAGTTTTGTATCTTGGCAACAGAGTTTTCAGCAGGTTCTGGCCCCACTATTGTGGTGATATACTCTGATGGCCCCAGCAGTGTCATTAACCAAAAGAGGCTTTAAGATACCAGCCTGAATAATCTGATCTTATCGCTATCCTACTGCCTGGATGAGCCAGGTCCTAAATTTGGGGCTTTCACTATTTGAGTAGTAACCCAAGGTTCTGGCTGTAGGAGTGTGATAAATATTGAACTGCCCTGTTGCTTCTTACTGTGATTCAGAGGTCTCATTGGTGAATGTAAAGGGATGCCTTGTGTTGTGTGGCTCCCACTCCTAAATTCCAAGGTGAGCCTTCCACTAATTCCCACATAAATGCCTATATTCCCTGCTTTTATTCCCCACTACCTGGCCCAACATGACAGTGCAAACTGGGCTATCAGGATGCTTGATGTGAAGCAGACGGAAGAATCAAGATGAGCTGCCTGCACTGGGGTTGTTCATGTGCAGTGAATTCTGCAATGCCACAGAAACAGCACTGAGAGCTCACACCCTTGGGGCACGTGTCATCTTTGGGATGAGTGTTGGCCTATTTAGGCTCCTTCATCTGCATCTCCAAGCAGTTTGTGCCCAGAGGGAAGGTTTAAAGTAGGAAGAGGTGGAGATGGGATGTCTTTCTCTGGTTTAAGGTGGTGTGGTTTTGGTTTTTTTTTT